TCACAATCTCTCACACACATACAGTCTGAGCCTTAAATGGACTGACTGTTTCCTGTTGGAAAGTTGACAAATATTAAATGAATAAAATATGTTGATTGGGTGACTAAACTACGGTATTGTGTGTAATGAGAGTCTGCTTACACACAATACATAACTTACAGCAGCAAAGTATGTTTTTGCAAAAGTTAGTAACACTGAAAATTCCAGTTTATGTTAGCAACAAGCTATTTGCAAGTCAGACAGACAAACCATTCTGAAGTCCCCACATCTTTCATGAAGATAATTTCAAAGTTAACTTACTTTGAACTCCCTATAAAGTGCTGCCACCCTATGGCAGCGATTTTCTACCTGCATGTCCTGCAGACAGGGTGACCATTTTCAAATCGAGTTTCTCTCAGCTCTTTTATAAACGCCAAAATATGACCACACTTCAAACTTTGTCCTCTTAAGGCTGAAAATTCTGTCTGTCACTGTCTTCCATCATGTGTTAACTTCGGCTGATGCTGGACAGTATTCAACCCTTCTTTACAGGAGGTTTTCACAGGGCAATAACGACAGTTAAAACTTGAAACAGTAATACTAACATCAAACATTTTACCATGGTCTACCATGAAATCTAAAGTTGTTTCATTCCTAGTGTGAACCAAAGAGTCAAATGCAAATCAAAAATTGTGAGGTTGCCCAACCACTCAGTCCTTCTTACCACGCCATGCCTTTTTCCACACATGGGGAACAAACAAAACTAAACAAAACAAAACAAAACAAACAAACAAAAAGCCCATTCACAGCTGCTGCAGTGCGAGTCTGTCTCAGGCAACCGATCTAGCATACTGCAAAGACAGATTAAATGCACAATGAACAAGGTTAACTTAAATTTTCAACATTTACTCTGCCATAGCAAATAAAGGATTATGAAATACAGCAACAATCAGCGACATTTTCATTATTAGAAACCCAGTGACCTGTTGCTACATTAAATTAGCTTGTGGTTTGGTACATTACTGTGACTGTTAAGACCAACTATATTTAAAAAGCAAATGGAGGGGAAAAATACTTTACAGACAGCAAAAACAGCAGCAGAAGGGATTCTTATAAATGTCAAGCCCACTCAAGCTATCACTAGAGTTGCCACAATATAAAATTTTCACAGTATAATAACCATCTCAGAAACTATGACGGTGTCACTGTATTACACAATTACTATTATTACTATTTTGCCAGTGGGCAGTGGTCATCTATTGATCGATACAAAAACAAAAAAATCTACATTCATCAGCTTCTGTTTGCACAGTGTGTCCAAGCTGCTGACATTTTTTAATACACAAGGCATAACAGGAAAAGCAGGACAGGCAGCATGGACGTGAAATGTTCAGAGTGAAGACATTCTCTGACAAAATGATAAATATGGTCCACTTGTGTTGTTAACCAGCTATAATGTGCTAAAACACAAACTACTTCAGTATAAGAAGTATTCTTTTTACAGAGGAGAAAGTTAAAGGACTGTGGGGAAATATGCATTATATCTACATATAAGACAATGCAGGAGGGAGGCATTGGAAAAGAAAAAATATATTAAGGATGCCCAGTTCAGAAGGAGATATGTTGGAAGGTATGGTATTTTTGAGCTATAAAATACTTTTGAAACAATAAACAAGAACCTGAAATCACAGCATTTTAAGATAACATCCATTAAATTTGTTTATTTTGGAACTGGTGTGAACAAACCAAAACAGGTCATTCTGACCCATATGTCCTCTGCTCAGCTTGAGGTTTCTACTGTAAAAACTACAGCCACCAAAACTGATGTGAGAGGTGCAG